TCTAACTGTAGAAGATCTTCCCACTTGTGAGCCTTGCCTTCAGGGTAAGATGACAAAGAGGCCATTTAACGGTAAGCCTGAAAGATGTACAGGCACGCTTGACCTTATACATACTGATGTATGTGGTCCCCTGAGTGTTAGGATCCGTAACCAACACGTGTATTTCATTACATTCACCGATGACTATTCTCGGTATGGTTACGTATACCTAATGAGACATAAGTCCGAATCGTTTGAAAAGTTCAAAAAGTTCAGACAAGAGGTTGAGAAACAGTTAGGGGGAGAAATTAAGTCCCTTCGATCAGATCGATGTGGCAAGTATCTCTCTGACGAATTAAGGGACTACTTGAAGGTCAATGGGATAGTATCACAATTGGCTCCTCCTGCTACACCACAACTTAACGGTGTTTCAGAGAGGAGGAATAGGACCTTATTGGATATGGTCCGGTCACTTCTCGTCCATTCAGAGTTGCCTACATCCTTTTGGGGATACGCATTAGAGACTGTGATATACGTGCTAAACCGGGTTCCAACCAAATCAGTCCCGAAGACTCCCTATGAGCTTTGGACAGGAAAGAAACCAAGTGTACGACACTTGAAGATTTGGGGTTGTCCGGCTCACGTTAAAAGAACGAGTTCGGACAAATTGGAATCCAAGACTAGTCGTTGCCTATTTGTAGGCTACCCAAAAGGCTCTATGGGCTACCTATTCTATAAACCAAGTGACCAGAAGGTGTTTTGTAGTCGAAATGCACAATTCTTGGAAAATGATTACATCCTGAACAATCATCGTCAGGAAATTGTTCTTGATGAGGAGAGCTCAGATGTACTGGGAGGTGTCCCACAAGTTCCAGGTAGTGACCAAACTAGAAGATCTACCCGGGTATCCAGGCCACCAGTCCATTTTGGTTATGACTAGGATAGTTACCAGGTGGAAGCCTTGACTAGTGAGGAGGATCCCGTGACTTATGCGGAAGCTATGTTGGGCATAGACTCCCTTAAGTGGGTAGATGCCATGAGAGTTGAGATGAACTCAATGGGGACCAATGGAGTTTGGACTCTATTAGATCCGCCCCCCAGGGTAAAAGCAATTGTTGTAAATGGATCTATAAGAGGAAGAAGGGCCCCGATGGCAGGGTTGAGACCTACAAAGCTCGTCTGGTGGCGAAAGGATATACTCAGAAAGAGGGCATCGATTATGAGGAAACATTCTCGTCTGTGGCCATGCTTAAATCCATTAGGATCCTGCTAGCTGTAGCAGCATACCATGACTACGAGATTTGGAAAGTGAATGTCAAAATTGCGTTCCTGAATAGAGATATTACTGAAGATATCTATATGTAGCAGCCGCAAGGTTTCATTGTTGCGGGTCAGGAACACATGGTATGTAAACTGTATAAATCTATATATGGACTTAATCAAACTTTTAGGAGTTGGAACATCCGGTTTGACTCTACTGTCAAAAAGTTTGACTTTGAACAGAATCCGGATGAGCCCTGTATTTACAGGAAGTCCAGTGGGGATAATGTTACGTTTCTGGTTCTGTATGTAGACGACATTCTACTCATTGGGAATGATGTAGGAATGTTGACTAAGGTGAAAGTGTGGCTTTCACAGCAATTCTCCATGAAAGATCTTGGAGAAGCCACATATATACTGAGTTTTCGACTCTATAGAGATGGATCGAAACGGATAATAGGATTATCCCAATCTGCTTACATTGACAAAATTGTCAAGAGATACAGCATGGAGAACTACAAGAAGGGAAATGTTCCTTTCAGGCACGGAGTCACTCTCTCCAAGAAGATGCTCCCAAGACCTCTGAGGAGATTGAGGGCATGAAGGACGTTCCCTATGCCTCGGTCGTAGGAAGCATCATGTATGTCATGCTGTGCACTCGCCCTGACATTGCTTAGGCAGTGAGTGTGGTAAGCAGATTTCATGCCAACCCTAAGCAGATTTCATGCCAACCCTGAGTGTGAAAAATATACTTAAGTACTTTCGAAGGACAAAAGAGTTTTGTTTGGTATTCGATGGTAGCTCACTACAGATCCAGGGGTATATTGATATCGATTTCCATTCGGATCCAGATAATAGAAAGTTTACATCTAGGTATGTTTTCACGATAGGATCGTGATATCCTATGCCAAGTAGTGAGATCCTTAGCGGGGGTCAAAACCTGGGTATGTTGGGACAGTCCGAGAATTCATCTTAGTGGATGATCATAGTGACAGGATCAGCCCCTTTGTCGGACAAAGGTAATGATCGGGATGCACTCTCTCTGATGGAAACCAAGACAGCCGGCAGCCGATTTCAATCGTTGAGATTTGTTTTGCAAAATATATTTTATATGAGATATAAAAGTATATATATTATGGTTTCCAAACGTTTGCAAAATGTTTTAATTCCCGGGATC